AACACGCACAGGTGGCACAAGTTTTGCTTTGAACTGTTTGAGGTGCAGTTTCACTAAAACCCCTGCACCTATCTCCTTGAAGCTTGGCAAACTTCATGTCCTCAGAAGGGGCTACCATCCCTGCAATTTTCATCTAAATCAGGCAAAAAAATGACAAAGTTATAGGCATTTTAGTGATTCTCCATTATAGCCTATGGCTGAATCACTGAAACAGCACTGAAACTCCGAAATAGATTCAACAGAATCAAAATAGAAGAGATATCTGAAACACTGAAATGAATCTCTGTCCTCCAAAATGGCCAAATCTGAAATCAAAACAAAACACAGCCATTCTGCACAGCCCTACCAGCTAATCGAGCCCAAGTCTGGTCCTGATACAGCCAACAATCAGCTGATAATCGTACCACAACAGGGCTGGTTCAGGCCCTAGCCTGGTCACAGATCTGGCCGATGATCAGCTCATTTTCAACAGATGGGAACTGCACTGGGCCTGGTGGGAGACCCTGATGCAGTCCTAATCCTGAGCAGTCCTAGTCCTGCTACATGTTCAATTTAAAGCATGATGGAAACCAGCTAGAAAAATATCATATATTTTTTGTGTAATAGGGGCTATAGATAACCCTGGAGGACCAACTCAAGACATAAACCTGGAGTACATGGTAGCAGATGGTAGCAGATGTCCACAAAACAGCAGGCTGAGCATTTGAAAGTGTGACAGATTTGGTGTTGATTTATCCCAGGGTAATTTTTCCACTACTGGGACAGTTGCATCTCTTTTGGGGGTAGTGTAATATGTTCACAGCTCTTTTAGACTGTGACAGCTTGATTTGCCTGCATTTAGAAATGACATGCTGCCCAGCAGCTTTTGGTGATTCTGGCTTTGTGCTATATAGCACACAGAAGGGCCAATTTTTGTGAACCCTTGAGTAAATGATTGCCTGTCAATGCCCAGAACTGAATTTGATTGCCCAGGCAGCCCCTTTGGGTCCTCTTTTCACATGAGGACTTGTGTGTGCCCATAGCCTTTTGGGAACAGCAATAATGACCTGACAAACGTAAAAGGTAAATCCAAAGGGCACTTACAAGTGTTGAGGGCATATTTCGGTGGGGTTTGCTTTCCAGCTTCTAATATAGATACACATATTTAAATCCACAAGTACAATGCATATCAATCACAGACTCATAGAAAATTAGGTTTGGAAGGGACTTCAGGAGGTCATCTAATCCAACTCCCTGCTCAAAATAGGACCATCCCCAACTAAATCATTCCAGCCAGGGCTTTGTTGAGCTGGAGCCTAAAAACTTCCAAAGATGGAGATTCCACCACCCCTCTAGGTAACCTGTTCCCGTGCTTCACCATTACCCTCCTAGTGAGATTTTTTTTTCCTAATATCTAACCTAAACCTCCCTTGCTGCAACTTGAGACCATTGTTCCTTGTTCTGTCATCTGTCACTACTGCGAACAGTCTAGTAGCTCTATCCTTTTTGGAACCACCCTTTGGGTACTTGAAGGCTGCTCTCAAATCCCACCCCCAGTCTTCTCTTCAGAAGACTACATAAGCCCAGTTCCCTCAGCTTCTCTGCTTAAGTCATGTGTCCCAGCCTCTAAACCATTGTGTTGCCCTCTGCTGGACTCTCTCCAATTTCTCCGCAACCTTTCTGCAGTGGGGGACCCAGTACTGCAGATGTGGCCTCACCAGTGCAGAATAGAGGGGAATATTTACTTCCGTCAATCTGCTGGCAATGTTCCTACTAATGCAGCCCAGTATGCTTCTTGGCAACAAGGTCATACTGCTAACTCACATCCATCTTATTGTCCACTGTAATCCCCAGGTCCTTTTCTGCAGTGCTGCTGCTTAGCCAATTGGTTCCAAGCTTGTACCTGTGCATGGAATTCTTCCATCCTAAGTGCAGGACTTTGCACTTGTCCTTGTTGAACCTCATGAGATTTCTTTTGGCCCAATCCTCTAATTTGTCTAGGTCACTCTGAATCCTTGTCTACCCTCCAGTGCACCCCCCAGCTTGGTGCCATCCACAAATTTGCTTAGGGTGCAACTCATCCCATTTTCCAGATCTTTAATGAAGATATTGAACAAAAACAGCCCCAGGACTAACCTCTGGGGCACTCTACTTGATACTGCCTCTCAATTAGACATTGAGTCATTGATTATTACCCCTTGAGCCCAACAATCTGGCCAGCTTTCTATCCACCTTATAGTCCGTTAATCCAACCCATACTTTCTCAGCTTGCTTGGGAAAATGTTGTGGGAGACCATATCAAAACGTTGCTAAAGTCAAGGTATATCACATCCACTGCTTTCCCCACATCCACAGAGCCAGTTATCTCGTCATAGAAGGTACTCAGGTTGTTCAGGCACGACTTGCCCTTGGTGAACCCACGCTGACTGTTCCTGATCACTTTCTTCTCCTCCAAGTGCTTAGAAATGGATTCTTTGAGGACCTGCTCCATGTTTTTTCTGGGGACTGAGGTGAGGCTGACTGGTCTGTAGTTCCCTGGATCCTCCTTCTTCCCTTTCTTAAGGATGAGCACTGTATTTGCCCTTTTCCAATTGTCCAGGACCTCCCCCAATTGTCATGAGTTTTCAAAGATAATGGCCAGCAGCTCTGCAATCACATCAGCAAACTCCCTTAGCACCTTCAGATGCATTGCATCCAACCCCATGGACCTGTACATGTTCAGCTTTTCAAAGTAGTCCCTAACCTGTTCTTTCAGCACTGATATCTGCTCACCTTCTCCCAAAATTGTGCTGGCAGGTGCAGTAGTCTGGGAGCTGACCTTGCCTGTGAAGACCAAGGTAAAAAAGACATTGAATACTTCAGCCTTTTCACAGCAACATTTCAAGAAAGCAACTCTATCCAAGACAGTTCTTCAACAGTTCTCATCTCTAAGGACATGTTTAAATTCCAGTGAAGTCAAGCACATACTTAAACACACTCAAGTGCTCTCCTTAAACTATGGATGACCTTAAGTACATGGCTAAGGGCTTTCCCAAATCAAAACATAGGGGAGGAGCTCCTGAAAACAGATCTTGCCAGATTCTTGCTGTAAAAGACTACCATCCTGCCACAGCAAAGGGAACAAAAATTAATACCCTCATCTGTGGTAAATAGCTCATGATGCTCTGCAGAAACAAGCAAACAATCTGTTGACATGCTGAGTTGCCCAATTAAGAAAAAAACAGGATGTCCATTTTTGCCAAAAGAGGACAGCAAAGTATCACAAAAAGATGTCCCCTAGTTTTTATGAAGATTGCAAAGAGAGTAAAAATCTTTTAAGAACTTAAGTTGAAAATTATAGTGCCTCCCTGAGGTAGTTTGTTTTCAAAAACAGCTCTGTTGCAAATAATACTGTCCAGATGGTTTTGTCAATGGATGTAATCATTGGCCATTCATTGTTGGCTTAAAAATGGCATTTAAAGGCCTGATTTTTTAAATTTGGCTTATAGGTATAGATATATGTATTATAAGGGGTCAAAATGGGCAGCAGGGTTTAAATAGATTTCTAAAAAGCTTGGGAGACACACACACAGCTTCTCAAGGCCCTGAAAGCAGACGGGCTGTTTAGCACAACAAGGCCAATGGATGGACACAGCCTGAGAATTGAGGGGGACATACACAAGATCACAGCCTTCAGGGTAGACAGGTTGTCTAACACAACAAGGACACACAGCCTGGGAACCAGAGAAGTATGTACCATACTTTCCCATAACACAAGGTAAGTGACACCAGCCACAAGACCCAAGAGCAGCAGGGGGGCTGAGTCCCAGTTTTGGGGGAACTGATCAAATTAGGAGAAGGCCCAGAAGGCTACATGGACGTGTGACCACAGAGAGACAACCAACCAAAGATACCCACAGATGAAGAGTCATCAGAAATCAAGGGGGAAAGAGAATACAAAAGTAGAGATTTGAGATTAACAAAGGGTCCCTCTCTTTGTCCCATCCCTCCCTGTCCCTCCTTCTCTTTCTTAAGAGGGGTTCCCATCCCCATCCCTGTTTCCTGGGAAGGGTCCCCAAGGCTGCCATGGGCAGAGGGTACACACCAGCAGCCCACCTCATGCACCCCACTGGAGGGGGGCTGCAGGCCTCAGCATCACACCTCCAGACTGCTGACACCCACGAGAAAGAGCCTCAGAGTGGAGCCTGCATCCTGACCAGATGTACTTTGACTCTGATGACAGCCCTAGGACTGGTAGATATAGAATTGCTTCTATTGTTGCTTTTTGTTATCACTCTGTATCAATAAATTTACCTATTTACTGGCCAGTGTTGGGGTCGGTCTGAGGGTTGTGTTTGCCCGGAACAAAGGTATAGGTGCTGGGTCCAAATCCAGTGCCAATATCATGACTCCCAAATATTTTATAACTTTAAGCAAAACAAACATACGCCATCATGTCATGCTCTACAAAGGGAGCCCAATATGGAAGCCCTACAAGGGCCTAATACAGCTAACAGTTAAATCAATGGGAGTATTCCCATTGCTTGCAGTGAAAGCCTCAAGTTTCAAAATTTTCTGATTCCAGGAACTCTTGGACCTACTACAGTCATTTGTGAAATATTCCTATTGACCTCACTGGAACCAAGATTTTATCCCAGGTAACTCCGCTATCCAGTGGACCATGACATTCTAGGGACATTGCAATGTTCCTACACATAGTAAACTACATTGCCTTTTTTCATAGATTTCAAACAGTTGTTTTTCATGATCATTTCTGATATACAAGGGGGGTGGGAAAGAGGACCACAATAGCCACATGATACAGTGCAGGCCACAACTAGGAATCTGGGATTAATTTCTTGAGCATTTTTTTTTTTTTTTTTTTATTGTTTTATGCTTCAACATTTGACATTCTGAGCATTAACATGTCTATAGAAAAAAAATCGACTACTGCAAAGTCCAGCATTGTAGTGGGCCTTTTATCTAATGCCACTCACCAAGGTTCCGATCCATCAGAGAACAATGCACACGTGTCATTTTTCGTGCTTCACGCAATTCCACTGAAATCTCAGTGCATAAATTTAGGAACTTGCGTAAGACTCTGTAGGATTCATGTCTAATCTTGGATCTCAATAAAAAACTAAAAGAAAATGTACCTATAAACTTATTAATTCAAACTCTGGGATAAAAGCCCTGTATCTACAATGTTCACTAAATAGCAAAAATAAAAATTCTATTTATTCATTTGGCCTTTTGAAGTTTTTACTGCACCTTAAAATTTAAACTGAGATCTGTTTTTGAAGATATAATATTTTCAAGAAAGACCAAACTAAAGTAAAAGGTTCTAACATTTAGGATGTAAAAAAGTATTATGTACTTTCCCACCTATTACAAAATGGAAAATAGTGCAGTTCTATTATACTAGTGGTCCAGGTCCACTTCTCCATTGCTTAACTTCAGTGAGATTTCTGGTTGTGAAAGGAATGCAAAAGTGGGTTCTTATCATGTAGTGCAAACCTTTCCCAAATATCCATTATATCAACTGAACTTCTGTTCACTTTAGTGTCATTGAAAAAGGCAACAATTTCTTAATTTCCTTAAGATCTTCCAATGCAAGGAGATTCATAGACTGTGCATCTGATAAGTAACTATTTACACACACATACTTTATTTTATTGAATGTGGGGAGCAGATTAAATACCAGGCAGATAAGTATCATGTAATTCGTACTCTGGAAATATATTTAAAAAAAAAAAATCAATCCCATTTTTCCCCTCAACGACTAGCATTTGGCTTTATCAGATTTTCAGATAAGGCACTGTAAAACAAAAAGTACATAAGAAACCAAACAGTCACCTTTATCAGCCAACTTACTGACTAGTATCAGAATGAAAAACACTAGTTTATTAAAGGTGAATAACTAAAGTTTCTCTTGAAAAAGAAATGTGGTCCCCATGTTCTTAAGATGCGCCAATTCTGAGCATGGAGAAATTTCATGCTTATTTATTTTGTCCTGTCAGAATTATCTCGTGTTCAGGAAACCAGAAGATATCCTGCATCACAATCGGGTGTAATACTCCAGAGGTTCATCGTCTTCACCATCCTCTTTAGTTGTTCTTGCAATTGTGTCTGTCTCTGCTATGAAAGATGGATTGAGCCCTCCAGGTGTGTAGTCATTTCTCCTTAAATCTATGAGTGAGGAAGGCAATAAGGGAGAAAAACAAAATCAACGATATAAGCAGCAAATGTTTTACAAATATACAGAGGGCAAACCCAAATATAAGGATGCATGTTAACTCTTTGTGCATGGGGGAAACAGGAAATACTATAGTAGCGTGATTTCACTTAGGCAAGGGCCCACCATAGCTGGAGGAGGATGCAACATGTGGGTCCATGATCAGGACCCAGGGAAATCCCCAAGTAGCATGATCCCTGGTCTATTCAAGTGCTTAGGCAATTTTATACCTTCTTTCAAATTACACCTGCCGCAGAGGCAAGCTACCCAAAAGATAACACTGAAACCTCTGATTCAGACTTAGGCTGCTATTGAACTTAATATGGTCATTAAAATCAAGGTACTTTTCATTAGAAATAGATACAGCAATTCACCCTCCACTACATTACATATTTTACCCACAACAGCAATTATTTTTGTCAGTCAATTAAGTATAGAGCCTGGTTAATGGCAACATCTACGGACTGAGAAAAAATCATAGTGAGATCTCCACAGGCCAATGCATTGCTGATTTTTATAGTGTTTCACAGATCCTTATTTCAACAGTAAAAATTATTGCAGTGGCTAACCGTATTGATCCCCCGGGAATTATTTTTTTATATTACTTTACCTGAAGAAGGAAATAATTCAATGAGTATTTAATGGTAGATGCTTATATTATACACCCAAGATCTTTGACTGACAGCTTCCAATCTGGAAAAGATTGCTGTGCAAAAGAAACAGTGGAGATCAGTACAGTACCACTTTACCAAACCTCTGAATGGAAAAGCAGCTCCATGTCAGCAGTGGCAGCTTTCCCCAGGAAAAAGATCATTGTTAGTGCTGATCACAACTCTTTAGAGCCCTAAGGCCTTTAACTTGCTAATAGGAAAATAATACACAAGGACTAGAAATAAGATAAAACAGCTTCCTAGTAAATGTTTGCTCAAAACAGTAAAATTCTACTGTGCATACCGGCAAGTTTAAGTTTCCTGCAGCAGGAGTTGCAGTGGTGCTTTGCAATGAAGTTTTTAATTGCAACTTCTCCTAGGTTTGCCGGTCCAAATACCATGCCTCCAGATCTAAAAGAAACAAAATAACATCATACCAGTGAGCTCAAGTACTTCTTTTGTGCTATCCCATGAGGAACACTGTAAGCTTAAAGAAATGAAAAGTTTGCAAATCTAGAATAAAAAGTTTGTATTTTACTCTTTTGATTACAGTGGGATTGCATTAGGGGTAAAATATTCAGTAAGATATAGTCTACATATCACGACAAACTACGGTTGAATACTTGTAAATAGATAGGGTTATATCCTGTGCACCATGAAATTTACTTAGCTTTGGGCTAGAGAGATCAGCAGAGATACATGAAGAGAGCTTTCTTCTACCTATCTTAATAAAGAGCACCAACTGTACTTAGTAGCTATAACACAATTTCAGAGGTATAGTGTTAACTTTGGCCACTATGTTCCGTTTTTCACTTTAGAAATCCCTGGTAGATTCACTGAGTCCCAAAAAAACACTTTTGGCAGAGTTTGGCTTTATGATATTCAGGTAGTAAAGGCTCCTGGAGCAGCCTTTCTTCCATCATCTCCTGTCACACAGGTTGTGCTGCATCAAGGATATGATGCTCACAGAATGAATGGATACATAGGCCACATCCACAAGAGCATACACTTGTATTTTGTGGCACTGCAAAATGTACCCTGTGCGTGTGATTTGGTTCTCTGAGCTGCATATTTGCAATGTAGAGCTAAACGTAGATACTGGGAAACCCAGTATCAAAAAAAGTTTGCAGGAAGAAAGCAGGACAGCACACATGGCTGTAACATGCGCCACCCAAAACAGGAGCCTGGCCAGCCAGAACCACACTCCAACTCCCACCCAAGCTCCACATGCCTGGATCACCACTGCTGGAGCCATGGGAGGCCTCCAGGACCGCAGGTAAGGATGCTAGGGCCAGCTCAGGTGCTGGCCCCAATCTCCCCAGCCCCACCCAGAGCATTTTCTCCTATGCTAACCCAATGTGCAGGGGCATGTGCTGGTGCAAAAAGCAATGGTGTGAATTTGTGCCACTGCTGTTTTCCCCACACATCACCTGCACAGTCCTGCTCATGGGGACATGGCCATAAGGGTTTTTAGGGGTAGAAACTAAGCATTTCATTAGGATTTGAACCCATATTTTGAACAGACTATGTCAACAAGCTGTTCCTGTGTTCAAACCAAAACAAGTTTCCTCAAATAAACAGGATCTTATCAGCACCTTCTAAAAGCATAAGACTGCAAAGAACAGGAATACCTCACTTTGGGTGCATCTACACGAGATGTTTATTGCACAGTTGACTAACCATGGAGTAAATGTCTCAGCATCTACATCTGTGCTCCTATTAGTGCACACAAAACCACTAAACTCCACAGGAGGGTAGTATGACCCTGCTGCAGAGATTTTTTTGTGCACAGCAGCACATGTGTAGATGCTGCCCCTGCTGGCTGGGGTAGAAGGGTGCTGCCTGCCAGCTATCCCCACGCTGAAGCTCCTTCGTGCCCCAGCCAGCCCCTCCACAGGACACTGAGCCATGTTGGAGCATCCCTGGGCTGTCCCTGGCCAGCTTGGACTGCTCTGACTTGGCTCTACATGCTACAAACAAATAAACTCTGGAGCTTATTGCTCCAGAGTTAACTGCTCTCAGGCACACGTTCAAATAGCGCAACCAGAAGGAATAAACTCCAAAGCAATAAGCTCCGGAGTTTATTCGTGTGCAGTAATAGCACATGCAGATGTTCCCACTGTGGTTTTAAAAAGCCCTTCATTTACCTGCTTCCTATTGTACTCATTTCTGGGCATGTACACTCCATGAGCAATTCAACAGTGTTACTAAGGAATTCATTTGTAGAAGCTTACAACATTTTGGGGATGAAACTGACACAGTAACAAACTGAAGCAAAAGAAACCATACGTTTATTAGAAATACTGTATAATTACAGCAGATCCTTAACATAGTCTGAAAGATCAGTGTTCATTAATTTTAATACTGCTCTGCCATTATCATCCAGAATTTGACATTCTAGACATCATGGAAGATGGCACCCAAGAAAAAACTTCCAAAAAAAACGTTATGAAGGCTGATATTTTATTTTAATGACATGCAGATTTAAAACACATTTTAAGATTTGAAATCAATTATAGCTCTGAAATGCAATTTAACTTTCACAAATATACCTTTACTCCCCACTCAAAAATATGTCACCTCCAAGAAAAGGAACTAAGACTGGCAACTGAGACTGGCAAAAAAGCAAATTTTCTATATGTATAATACATTCCAGTCTCCCTTGGAGAGAAATAAAATGATTACAGTGAAGGTATGCTAAATGTCAAAAAGAAGGCTTGCTACCCACTTGATTTTTGTCTGACATGGACTATTTAAAACTAGTCTATTGACCTCTAGCTCTCAGTAGTGAGCTGGCTTGAAATTGTCTGGGCACTTTACTGCTCAAGGAAACTCAGTGAAGACTCAGCTGTCTTGGCCTAAATCCTAACTGCAGGTTTCCACCCTGCACACCTAATGAGACAGAACCTGAGTTGGTGTTGATCAACATAATTCTACCAGAGTCAGAGATACTATATTGATTTATACCAGATGAGGATCTGGCTATGAGTTTAAGCCAATGTAGACCCTTCCCAAAGAGTTCTGTACTTTCAGCACTGCATTAGTACATATAAACTACTAACGTGTTCTGATATATAGCACTACATGATCACAGGCGCCAGAGAGTAGGTTACGGTATTAAAAAGTCCATTTCAAGGTAGCATATAAGAGTGCATGAAAGAAAAGACCCACTGCAAGATAACAACTTGATTCTCACATAAATTACCTTACCAATGAATCCTTGAATCAGTGGAACCAAAGAAACAAAACATAAATAATAAAAGTAGTTTTAAAATATGTATCAGCACCCCATCAGTCAGAGGATACCCACTCGCTTCTGGATATCTAAGCTAAAGTGAGCTCAAAGCCATGCCTCTATGTAGCAGGTTTCGAAGCAGCACATGACTTTCGGTTAAATAAGTTATCAAAACATAAAGTAGAACTTCATACTGCCACAAATTTTCCCTGGTGGTTGAATGAGAGAGTAAGTTAAGACAGCGCATTTGAAAGATTTTTGTTAAGGAAGCATGCCTTGGGGATTATCCCTGTGTACAAGTATGCTGCCAGCTGCATACAGGCTCCATCTGTGGCATCCTTGTCATATTCTCCCAGATCACCAAGTCAAAATACCATTCTGGAATTTGCAGTTCTTGAGGATCTCCCCTACCATATGAAAATCAAGCTGTGGTTTACTTCATTAACTGGTGTCTGCTTTTTAATTAGAACATTGAATACAGAAATATTTTTGAAGATGACAAAGGAAAAAAAGGGTTTGGGGGGTTTCTTAAATAATAAGCTGAACAACCTGCTTTTATTAAGCTGAGGTGAAAAGCTGGTAATTGGTGTTAAGATGGTCATGGACACATGCTTGAGGATTAAGTATTTTCCATGTTTGAGAAAAGAGCAAACAAAAAGTAAACAGCAGGTTGAGTGAATTGCCAAGGTAGAGTATTGTGGCATGATAAGCATAAATTTATATATCAAACCTGAAAAAATATATTTAGGCCCCAATCTTACTTCCACTGAGGTCAATGTGAAAACATCATTCACTTCAGTCATATGAAATGGTCCATTATTCATTTGTATTCATATTATAAAGTAAGTTTGCTCCACACACTGTACCAAGTAACACAATGTTATTATTGTGTTAACATGCTTCCTACCATTTTGTCAAACATGCACGTACTTTGATGAATTGTGCAAGCTGTTTAGGCCATGGTTTGGGGTTTTTTGGGGGTTTTTTTAACTTTACTGGGAGGTGCCTAGCATAATTTGCCTGCCATGACAATAATCAACATTATATAATTGGTAACCATTCATTTGCTGTTAAAAGTGATAGCTACTATTGCATGGGTGTTTGTTTATTGCTTACTAATGATTCAAGTTATATGAATGTTATAATGCTAAGCATCCCAGAGTAACAGGGTAAGAATTTTAATCCTGGTTCTAAAATGGACTTGCTCTATGATCCAATCAGGTCATTTAATATATCTAAAATTCTGCATCCCCTCAAGTGAAATGAGGCTAATGATATTTACCTATTACTTAGGTTACTGTGGCATCTAACTAGGTATTGGCCCCAATCCTGCGCTCAGATCTGTGCAGCACACTTCCCAGCCTAAGACTTCAGTGGGCCTTCATGTAGGATTAAGTGTCTCCCCATGACAATCAGAGTAAATGTTCACAAAGTGAAAACAATCTAAAAGCATTATCATCAGACTCGTTGGTAAGGGCAGAAACCAGACATCTCATGTGTCCACTCTTCTGATTTCCCTAGGCTCCACAGACTTGTATAATCATCAAAGAAAAAAAAACCACTATGCACAAATCAAATATTTAGCTCATCACTAAGAAATCAAGATCTCTTATTTAGAAGGTTACAATTTCCAAAAATGTATCATTATCTACAAATCATCTAAAGTGAACCTCTTACATAATAGCAAACTTACCGCTTGTGGTCAGGTTTAATAACAGATGGATCGGTAAGATTTTCCCCAACACCTACAATAAAATCAACAGGGTGTGTTACAAGACAAGATTATTTTTATGTAGCCTGTCATGAAATCATAACTAATATAAATTATCCATTTGCACTGTAGATCATAAAAGTGTTGCACTTGCAGTGGCCAAGAGATCTTTTTAGACAATGCCATGCCTATGAAAATTAAACTTCAAAGCATTTAGTATGCTCACTGGGTTCTTGATATTAAATGCTCCTAATGTGTTGTGTACGTATGGTTGGACTCAAGGCTTGCCCAAATGACTACATCTTAAGACACCATTAACAAAGTCCTGGATAAACTGATGCAACTACAGAAAAATGAGGCTATTTTTAGGATGGAAAAAGTAAGTTATCCATAAGCAAAATCCTATTAATTTCAATATGCCTAGTACTTGAGAAATGTGTTACTCAAAGAAAGAAAATGCATCAGAATATGTCCCTTCATTTAGGTATCATAAGGTAGCATAAGGATGCTTGGGCCCTTTTTGCCCCCTAGCTTTCTAGTGGTGCTTGTAGAGGGAGGGTCAGATAAGTAAATCCAATCAATACCACATAGGAAAAGACTCTTTTGTGGTTCCTTTCCTTAAATTGATGTTATACTGGGATGTATGGGATTTTACCATGGCCCAGTACAGACCTTTAGTTGCTCCTGGAAGAATTGCTACTTTCCCAAGAGAAACCACAAGCATATGTGGTTCAAGCTTTTTTTATTTTTATTTTTTGCCCAGGGTAAAAATGGCTGCTCCTAGGAGAAAAATAACTTGGAAACAACCAGGATTAAATTACTCCTAGGAGCATTTCTCCTAGAACAGCAAATACAGAATCACAGAATCATAGAAAATTAAGGTTAGAAGGGACCTCAGGAGTCATCTAATCCAAACCCCTGCTCAAAGTAGGACCATCCCCAATTAGATCACTGCAGCCAGGACTTTGTCAAGCCAGGCCTTAAAAATCTCCAAGTATTGAGATTCTACCACCTCTCTAGTCAACTTTTTCCAGTGCTTCACACTCTCCTAGCAAGAAAGTTTTTCCTAATATCCAACCTAAACCTCCATTTTTATGTAGCCTGTCATGACATCATAGCTAATATAATTATCCATTTGCACTGTAGATCATAAAACATATCTGTACATGCTGACAAAAAGGGTGATTGTTTTATATCTGATAAAATGATTGGGCTTTTGGTCTGAAAGAAATTTATATTTTTTGTTGTTTATGGAAGTAATTTTAGTCCACTAGTGATGAGTTCAAGATTTGTGATGGACTTGGGTATACAGATAACAATAAAGTGACTGTTGGGCTCTCAGTATGCTAAAGCATCCAAAGAACTGCAACACACCCCAATGACTATAGATTATTATTAATATAGCATGTATTATAATAAATTGTATAAAATTCATGTCTAGATATCTTGATCCTCTTGGTATTCCAATAAGAGTGGATGGTTGGGTGTAAGGGCCTAGGGCAGACGTAAGTAGTTGAATAGACATATCCTTATTGGAGCTGAAATCAAATGAAGGCAAGCGTGGAATTATAGGTTTTATTTTGCATGGCAAGCATATCTCATTGTAATTCACAGCTTCTGAATGCTGTAAAATGTAAATATGCTAAACCTCTGTCTACTAGTACACTTTTCCCTTGACATAACTGACAAACAATGGTGTTTATACTGCTTGATGGGAGCTGTTCATCTTCTGTATGTGTCAAATGTTTTATCACTTTGAAATATACTACGTTCCCTTTACACACATGCTGTAAAGCAATCCCACCACACAACATGTTGTTTGGTGAACAACTGGTCTATGGAAATAGTTCCCAGAGCTGCGGCTTGCTTAAACCACCTACAGACTTATTAATAAATCAGGCCAGTTACTGACAATTTTTAGTTTTCCAAAAAATGTATTTTTATTACAAACATTTAAGTCTCATAAAAGTGCTTTATGATTACAATATTTTAATACTTAGCAGTCAATTGAAACATTACTATACACTGTTTAACTCCATGGTATTTGTACACCGAAATGTGAGATCTGGGTCCAAATTCTGTTCCAGTTTACACCTGTGTAAATCTAGAGTCTCTCTGTAGATGCCTGTTTCTATCTGTATAATTCCAACCATGTCCATGGGGTACTATAGATGTACTTGTGTATACATGGGAACAGAATGTGGCCCCTCTTTTTTAAGTTGAATTCAACATAGTTTTCTAAGGGATATTACCATGTTTTATAATAAGTAATGTACCATGTTCTGGTGGTTACCTTGCAAATCCAGGACAAGGAGTTCCCCCCGGGTATACTCGTAAGTCCAGTGAGAGAAGGCCAACATCATCTCCTCCAGCAAATTACCAGGAGTAATCTCATCCCCATTGTTATTATTGTATTTGCGGAACTTGCCCGTCATGTATTTCTCTATGGTCAACCACTGATTGGCTGAATGGCAGTATAATAAGAAAACCTCCAGAAACCTGTGGGGTAAAAATGCTGTCAGCTGGACAAGGTATTGAGTATCTTCACAGTCGCAGGACAATGCTCCCCTGACTACAGCCTTCAATCAACCCAGACAATTCTTAATGGTAGAAGGTAACAGTGAGTGCATCTACATATGAGTTTATTCTGCAGTAATTTCCCGAGAAGTAAACCTGCCATGGGCAGGTGTCTACATGTGCAGCCATTTGGGAGCAGAGTTGCTGCTTATGGCAGTAGCCTGCTCCCGGGCTCCTCCAGCCCTGCATCACCCCCCTGCAGCAGCAAGGGGGAGCTGGAGGCTCCGGCCACAGCTGCCAGCAGCCAGGGGCCCTCTTTAAAAGCCAGCCCTGCATGGTGCTCCCTGGCCAAATGCCTTTCGGGCCTGGAGCAGGCTGCATCATGCTGGCACAACCATCTGTGACTTGTCACCAGAGCCTGTGCCCATCATGTGATGGCTGCTCCACCCCCAGACCCCAGGAACAATGACCCATGGCCCCAGGCTCCTGCTTCCTGCTCACCACGTTTCACCACCATGGTGACCATTGCCTGGTCCAGGTCAGTCTCAGCCCTGCATGCCACTCCATGCTGCATGGCCATGTGGCCTGACTCACTGCAGTGTCTGAGGTCTCCTGTCAGCACACTGCTGTTGCCCAGACCCTGGCTGGGATGCTAACAATGCACACATGGACACCACCATCAGTGACATCCATGAGCTCCTGGGGCTCCAGCCCCATTGCCTCTAGGCCTGCCAGGCCAGCCAGGGCTGGTGGCTGCATGTTGTCTAGCATACCTGGGATGATGATCAGTGGCCATAGTTATTTCGCATGATGCACACCACCTTTGAGGAGCAACTCAATCAGCTCCGCCCACACCTGAAGCAGCAGGCCACCGCCATGAACCAGCCCCTCCCTGCAGACACCCAGCTGGCCAACACCCTGCTCAGGCTGGTCACACCTTTCAGCCTGCACTACCTCATCCACCTCTTCAGCATAGGCAAGGCAATTGCTGGAGAGGCGGTCCTGGAGATCTACAGTGCCTTCCAGGACATGCTGTGGCACACCGTGCTCCAGATGCACAACCTCCTGGAGGTGGTGGCAGGGTTCTACACCCTGGCCTTCCCCCAGTGCACCAGAACCCTGGACAGGACCCACATCTCAGTCACCTGCCAGCCCTGTGGCAACCACCCCTACGATAGCTGATGGGGCATTCAATCTGTCATGCTGCAGGCCGTTGTTGGCCACTAAAGTGTCTTACCAACATAAGCACTATCTGGTTTGGCAGTGCCCACATTGCCCATGTCTTCTGCAACTTTGCCCTGCCAGCCCTGGTGGAGAGCAGATGCTTTGCACCAGTTGTGTCTCACCAGCTGGGCAAGATTATGGTCCCACCTTCCTCAACCCTGCCTACCTGCTCCTCCCTTGGCAGGCCTACACCAGCCAGCTGGACATTTCAACAGGTGCATGGGCTGGACCTATGAACTAGTGGAGTGCACCTTCAGCTACCTGAAGGAACACTGGTGCACCCTCACTGCCCACCTCAAGGTCGCCAAGGCCAACAGTCCCTAGGTCATCATCACAGCCTGTGTGCTGTGTAACATCTGTGAGGCCCCAGTGGAGTTCTTCCATGAAGCCTGGGCGGAGGAGGCACAGTGAAAGTGCCAGCTGCGGCAGCAGCAACAGTGACTGCCCCCACCCACCAAGGCCCCAAGTGAACCGCATACTCAGCAGTGGCAGCCAAGGCACTGGGTGCGAGAGGCACTTGGCAGGTAGCAAATAAACCATACAGTAGACTAAGTGACTGTGCAGTAAGCATCTGTACATGTAGGAGATGATGCTTTACCGCACAGTCAATTAGTCCATTGTGTGGTAAAATGTCTTGTGTTGACGCACCCAGTAAATAGAAGGAATCATGCCTGAGAAGTACTACTGAAGCTGCTAGCCACCTGCTAAAGCTGATGGTTCAGGGAATGATCTCAATACAAAGCACTTCTGTGCACTGGAATGTTGGTGGAGAAGCAGCATACTCTGAAGTATTCCTGCCAGTCTCTAAGTAAGAAGTCTGAAATCCTTAAAATTAATTGAAGAAACAGCATTTGCTACTTCAAGGCTTAGTTAAGGCATCTCTGTAGAAATAGGGGGGCGAAATGTTTCTAATGTTGTATATTCTGCTAGATAATGATGTAGCTAGCAGAACAGGCCATTTGCTCCTTGGCCTCTTGTGGGCTAAGAATAGTACCTTAGTACAGATTCATGGCCATTGAAGATAATGGAAGGACTCCTAATAACTTTAATATAGGTTTAATGGAAAATTGCAAAAAACATTCACTGCCCACTGAACAAGAGATGAGGACTGGAAAATAAGGGATTAAATCCTGGAAAGGGCAAGGGAAACTATCATTGGGATGCAAGAGGAAAAATAACTGGGTAGTCTTTGATGCAAAGAGTATAGGAAAGAAGCAAGATGAACTGTAAAACATAGTATGCAAAGAAAATAGTAACTAAACTGGCTAAACAGTAACTAAATTGATAGCAACTAAATTCCAGAAACATGGTGACATAACTTTCATGACTTGAATATCAAAAGCAGTATGGTTTATTCTGGAAGAATATATGGAAGGAAAAACATTGAACCTCAGGTATAGAAATGCTCATTCTGACATCCAAGAGGTAGGGAGACATCTGAACTGCAGAGTGCATCTGAGTGAAGATAAAGGAAAAGAAAGATTGCAATATTAAGGCACAGGTCTACTGCAGATCACTGCCACACCATCAGGGGTCTTGCTGAATAGGTTCCAGAAAGGCCAGGTTTCTGCATGGCCAACCTCCACCATTGTGGTCTTGTAACAACCCAGGCTGTAGTCGTGGCAAAACACACACCATGTCTCATCCTGTTGATGACTACCCACCAAATTCAGCAGTGGACTACTGGAACTGCAC